TTCTGATTGGCTCTCTCCCCTCGTTATTTTCATCAATGAGAGTGGTGGTGACCATGCCAGCATGGGAGGACTCTTTTCTGTTCTTATCGCAAATAGTCACCACAAAGACTCTGAGGAATGCACTAGTTCTCTCTTTCGCAGATGGATACATTGAGGCTTGGGAAAGTGAACCAGGTCAGTGATGCTGACGGGGAAGAGCCAGGGTTGAGCCTAGGCACTCCAACCTCAGGATCCTGTTTTTCCATCTCTGGCATGGTTTCCATGAATGTTTGTTGATTTTTTTGCATTGGGCTGTTGCGAGTGGTGGCTCAGGGCTTCAGAGGCCTGAGTGCAGAGACCCAGAAACTGGGTGTGTGCCCTGCTGCACCACTGTATGCCTCTTCTCTGTTTCTGTCAACCTTCTGGGTTGGTTACCAAGCTGTTAACATTTTGGAAGAATCAACTTAAAAGTGTCATGATACAGTTTCTACTTTTATCTTGAGTGTTCATAAGTTAAGCAGACTTAAATAGTTTATTTTCTATCTATTTTAGTGAGATAAGCTTAGGTCATCAGTTTTCAGGTTGTGTGTGTGTGTGTGTGTGTGTGTGTGTGTGTGTGTGTGTGTGTGTGTGTGTGTGTGTGTGTGTTTATGACTGAGTGCTGATTCAAGACACAGCTGCTCCACTTGTGATTCAGCTCCCTGCTAACAGCCTGGAAATGCAGTGGAAGATGGGCCCAAGTGCCTGGATAGCTGCACCCACCAGAAAGACCTGGATGGAGTTCCAGGCTCCTGGCCATTTGGGAAATGAACTGTAACTCTTCCTCTATACTGACACTCTATGTTTCAAATAAATAAACACAAATTTTTTAAAAAAATTAGATTGTCCTTCTAACCAATGCCTTAGTCATGTCCCATAGTTCTTTTTGTATGTTGTAATCCACTTGTCATTTTGTTTCACAATATCTTCCTTCCTGTGTGGTTTTCTCTATGGAATAGTTCTGAGTACCTGTTCTATGATTCCATTTGTAGGTGGTGTCTTACTCAAATCTACTCCCCAACCTCTGACTCCGGCCAACAATTTTTGTTTGACTGAATATTCACTTCTTTTGCTGTGACTACCTAGGGATAGTTTTCTCTGTACTTGTCTTTCTGTGGCTTGTAGAAATTCTCAGGTTTTTGACTTGATGTATTTAATTAAAAAACAACCTTTAAACTAGTTTATCTTTAAATATCATGTGCTGGTTGGGTCTTTTCAGCATGTGCTGTAGTGTCCATGTGCCTCTCTTCTGTGTGTTTATTTTTATTTTCTTCACTTCAAGTCTCTAGTCTGATTATTTTCTACTATTCTAGCTTCAGTTCCAGAATTCCAATTTGTTTTTTAAAGTAGATTCTAGCTTCATGATGAAATGCAATTTCTTCCTCTGTCTTCCTGAATGTGTTAGTTGTGATTATCCTGAATCTTGCATTTGCTAAATCTGTGATCTGCATAACCTGTGAGTTGGCTTCTCGGGTTTTAGCCCCTTGATACAGTTTATTACCATGCTTGGTAAATTGTGGGTGGATGCTAAAGATTATAGATTAAAAACCTCTCAAAGACCTAGGGTTGATTTTGTTGTCTTTCATAGATAATTCATTTCTCTGATGGATGGATGGAATTATGGCAAATCACCCTGTTCTATGAAGGGTTAGGATTGATGGCCTTTGGCGTCCTTGAAAGCCCTGAGCTGTTTGTCTCCTAATTCAGTAAGATTTCTTAATGTTCTAGAAGATCACCTTTGGTTTGGTTCTAGTACAAGAAGGTGGTACTCCTAACTTCGTAGTTACTTTTGGCAAAGGGTTAGTTTAATGCAAGTCGCTCTTTCTTAGCTAGAAGTAAAAGCCTATCACATTTAATTTCCACTATACGTTAAGCATTATTATTTTGTTTTTTGTTATGTGCATAGGTCTTATGATCAGATTTTACCTTCAAGTTTCAATTGATGGTGTACTATAATGTGAAACTTTATATCCATTTAACATTTATTTCCCTTTTAATCTGTGGTTGAAAGAGTGAAAGTAAATCCATCTTTAAATATCAATTTGTTTAAATCATTTTGGGGGTGAGCATTTGGTTTAATGCTTAAGACCCCAAGTTGGGATTCCTGCATGTATTATCACAGTACCTGGCTCTATTCCTGATGCTGGCTTCTGCTAATGTAGACACAGGGAGCTGGCCGCTGTGGCTACTGCGTGGGCTTTCTGCTATCCATGTGTCCATTCCTGATGCTGGCTTCTGCTGATGTAAACACAGGGTGCTGGAAGCTGGGTACTGTGTGGGCTTTCTGCTATCTACGTAGGAGGGCTGGATTGGGTTCCTAGTTCCTGTCTTCAGCCTGATCTAACTCTGGGCATTATAGGCATTTTCAGAGTGAACAGTGGATGGACACTATTTTCTCTTTGTCTCCAATTCTCTTTCTCTAATTCCAGGAACATGATAGAACAATCTCACTTATGAATGAATATCAATATAAAATAAGGTCAGTCAATTCAAGCACTTATTTGAAAGTATAGAAAACAGAATATGGCCACATATTTTAAAAATACATGTCATGACTAGGAAAAACTTGTTACAGAAAAACAGGGATAGTGGAATATTATGAAATCCATGTAAATCATAATATTAATAGTTCTAAGGAGAAAAGACCCATGTGATTCTCACCATACATACCTAAAAACCACTTGATAAATTTCAAAACATATTTAATTTTTCATTCAACAAATATGTGTTGAACATCTGCTGTGTTCCAACCATGAAGGTGCCAGAGTGACAAAGACGCTGCTACCGCTGCAGCCCACAGCCCAGGGGAATGACGTGACTAACAAGCACACAAGGAGGGACATGACCTCTATTTACCTAAAATATTTAAAAACTCAATAAAATGAAGCTACAGGGAAATCATAGGCTGGAAGAAAATATTTGTAAGTCATGTATCTCATAAAGGAACTGTATCTAGAATACACGAAGAACTCTCAAATTCAATAATACAGCCATCTTATGCAATTTCACACTTGAAATGTTTGCAAGTTATTAGATGTCAATTGTATACCAATAAATCCATTTTAGAAAGAAAAACTCAATAAAACATGTATTGACTTCGTTCATGTTTTAAACATTTCATTAAGCCGAATTCCAGCATTTTGCTTGATAGTATTAATGATTGCCTTCTTGATATCAAGATTCTAGTCAAGGTTGACCATATGTCCACAACATTTAATACTGAACTGAAAAATTAAAGCAGTAAGGTAAGAGAAAGCAACTAGGAATGGAGGAGTCAGAAAGAAATGATCCTGGCTGTCTGTAACTTACTTCAGTGTACAAATGGAAAGATGTGAACTCGTTGTGTCAGATACGGGCTCCAGCAGGTACAAGCCAGCTCTGTTCACAGGAGACTGGGTAGGGAATCAACCAAGGTTTCAATCGTGAGAGGAATGGATAAAGAAAATGTACTATATACACATGATGGAATGCAATTCAGCTATCAACAAAAGAGTGAAATATTGTCATTTATGGAAAAAAGGATGGAACTGGAGGCCACTGGGTTAAGTGAAGTAAGCCAGTTGCAGACCGATACTGTATGTTCTTCCTTGTATTAGGGAGCTAAGGTTAGGGAGGAAAGCTCAGTCTGGCCATGGGATGCTGATTTCTGGAGACTGGGAGGGTTCTGGGGAATAATAGGAGTTTAGAGTTAAAAAAAAAGTATGGTTCACTAATTCTGACAAAGATACTAATAGGAGGTATTATTAATAGGGGAGGAAGAGAGAATAGTATATAGGATTCTGTATCTTGTAAATTTTGCAATATTTTTCAAACAACTTATCAAAAATATACAAATGGAAACCCCCAAAGAGTGGATGGAAAAAAACTGTTAAAAACAAAAGAAATTTAAACAAGTGGTTATTTATAAAATCAAAATAAAACATCAACTGTCATCATATGTACAAATAGAAGCCAACTGGAAGATAGAATGAAAGGGAAGATTCCATTTATGATAACAAAGGATGCACAAAAAAAGAAATATTCAACATGCACACAAGGGAAATCGTAGAATATTCTTGAAGGAAACAGAACTAAGCTTGAAGAACATGGCAGAAATTCCATGCTATTTCATGAGAAGAAGCAGGGTCATGTGCCAGGCAAGAGTGTTCCGAGGAGGAGGAAGCTGAAGAGGAGGCTGAGGAGGAAGCTGATGCTGTGCGGCTGAAGGGCCTCCCTGGTCGTGGGGACCAGGGAAGGAAGTGCAGTCCAAGCTTGCCCATCTCTTCCTCAGTCATTAGCATGAGTCTTCAGTTTATTCTCAACCTTGGGGATTTTTTTTATCCTGAGTATTTATGATGAACTGTAGAGATGTGTTGTTATGATGCCGTGATATACATTGCCAGCATTCCTCTGCCACAGCCTTTGTCTCTGCGACTTCTCCTTCTCTTTGGACAACCCATGCTCCCCATCACCCCACTTTTCTGTTTTTCTCTCTTCCTGTTGTGCCTGTGCCTCTGAAAGTCCTCTCTGAAAGCCTGATAATTCTTCAGGGTTTTTTTCCAAAGATTGTTTTAAAAGCATATTCCCCATGTTTCCAGTTCACTACAGGACATTGGTATCTGCCCAGGCAAATCACCCTTACGTGTGTGTGTGTGTGTGTGTGTGTGTGTGCAGTAATGTGTAAGGAAAATCCTGAGAAATAGCTGTGCCCATGAAAACCTATTTAGTTGAATTTTTAAAAAAATTTTTGCCTGAGCCTAAAAAGAAATATTGTTTATATCTGTAAAGAGTGTGTGTGTGTGTGTGTGTGTGTGTGTGTGTGTGTGTGTGTGTGTGTGTGTGTGCCTGTTTGTGTTGAGAATTTTCTAGACCCAGTGTCACAAATGCCATGTTATAATTACTGTGCTTACCTTTTCATGGATGTGAATAATGAGAAGTGAGATATTTGCAAGTTTCTTTACATGTGAATTATTCTTCAGTAACACAAGGCTCTCTTCTTACAGGAATCCAGGAGCTCTGAAGTCACAAGAAGCAAAGGTAGGGAGATGACTTCACACTCATTTCCTTCCCAGTATTGACATTTTGGAAGCAATTTGTTGAAATGTGATGAACTTCAAACTGTGGACAGGCAGCTCCCAGAAACTTCTTATGGCCTTTTCTGGGTGCCACCTGCTTGGCACTTGGCTGTAGGGAACGCAAGCCCTGAAGGGCAGCATAGCTTGGCACAATTACTGCTTCTACGCTGGAGAACTGGCTTTTCCATGCTCCTGCTCATGGTCTGTTCAGAGAAACCTTTCACCCAGCAAAAGCAACATCACAACCACAACTGAAAAAAGAAAGTGCTCGAGATTGGAGGTATTTCAGTATCTAGAAAGAGATGCCACTGTGAAAAATATTTCTGATTAGATTTTACAGCTTCAGCTAAGCTGAAATAGAAATAACCAATTAATTTTCCTTTTGGAAACAATTCCATGATGTCCTATTTTCCCTGCCAGCATTCCTCTAGCACATTTATTTTCTGGTCTCCAAGGTAAGTGTATATGGGTGGTAATTTCAGAAATCTTCTAGTGGAAATGGAAATTTCCCTTATTCACTTTCAGTAATGCCTAGCTACTAATGGCAGGGAGTGGGGGTTTTTTTGCTATGATTTGTGAATGCGTTGATAATTGTGTCCTTATTGAGAGTGAAGACAGAAGCCAAAGTGAGTTCTTGACCTAGGGAACGGCCTCTGGTTTTCACCTAAACCATATCCATCTCTTTCCTAAAAGAATGACAATCTGTAGTGAGACAGTTCCCTGTTTTCACTTAAATCTAGCATATATCCATGCTTCATGGTTAGTTCTTCTGTTGTACAACATCTGTGCACAAGATGGTCGTGTTATCCGCATATGTTATCTCCAGCATTGGCAAACTTAGTGGCTACAATTGGTTGGTGGCTGCTGTCTATGGTTCTGAAACCTCGAGTTCAAAGGATCTGGGTAATCAGACCCCAGGGAGAAATTTATTGCTTCCAATCTTGTTTACCATTCTCCTTGATTTTGGGTTAAATGGCTCCTAGACTGCTTCTAGTTGGCAAGCATCATTGTTTGGATATCAAAGTCAAATGACACTGGATGCTGTAGATGGCGTTGGGAAGAAGTTTCTTCTTGAAGATGTGGGTGCCATGACCGTGCATGTTGGGGAGAAACAGCCACACAGAGTGTAGAAGTTGATATTGGATGAGATTGCGAACACTATTGTATTCCTGTCAGTACCACAGGATGTGCATAGCTGAAAGTAGTGAGCATTGTAGAATTGCTTATAAACTTAACCTTTAAACATAAGCTTACCTTGATCTGTTACTGTCTGTTAGGAATAGCTCGAACAAGATGGGGTTGTAGGACAACTATATATATTTCTACTCAAAGACCTAAGAAAGTGTAATCAGACTTGTGGCTAGAAAGCCTCAGCAGACTGTGTGTCTAGAGAGTGAGTAGAGGTATGGCTCTCTCCTCCACCCCATCAAAGCGTCAGTTTATACAGCTGACTGACGGGTGGCTTGTGCTTTGTGTCTGTATTCACAATCTGTCCTGGCGTTACACACACGTGTCCCTTCCTGTTGTGAACCGATGTCTTTCTTGCTTGTTTCTGTCAGAGTGGAATGTGTGAAGTTCCTGAAATAGCTGTGTTCTTTTAATGTCACTGCCTCTAACCTGGCAGGCAGGAAGAAAAAGTGGAAAATTGCAAGTTCCAAGTATTTTTGGGTTTGAAAACTCACTCCTGTGGGCTGTGGGCTTATTCATCTTCCCCCAAAGTGTGTGAGTATGAGAATAATTGAGGCACTGTGCATACTGCAGTAAATCATTATCACTGTGAATAAAAGGGAGATATTATTGTACAACATCAAGAGGCTCTGCTTGGGTCCTGGCTCTGACTGGAAATGGAAATGCAGCAGGCCAGTCACTTGCCGCTTTGCTGTTGGGTTCTCAGGCCAGGAGGATCTGGAGAGAGATGGAGGGTTCTTGGGACTCTGAAGGTGTCCTCACATCACAGCCTGTAGGAGGGTTTTCCCCTGAGATTTGTTTTGACTCATGAGTGCGTCAAAAGGAGGACCCTTGACAGCCTGATGCCACGTGATCTTTCAAAGTGTTGCATAAGTCTTGGAGGTGGAGAATGATAGCAGCTAACATCAGCACTGGAAACTAGGCCTCAGCTGTTCCACTGGAAGTCAGGGGCCATTCAGGAAAAGTAAATGCATCGTATACCCTAGACCTGTTTTCCTTGCCTTACTCTCACTCCCCTGCTCCCAGCCTACCACTCCCTGGGGCCCAGATGGTCATTTAGCTCTCTTGCTTCTGGTCTTACACAGTTCCCTGCCACCTGCATGCCTTGTTACATCTTCTTCTCCTCACCCCTACCCAGCTGTTTCTTGGAGCCTCTTGCACCAAGATGTTTCCTGAAAGCATAACCTCTTTCCTTTAGTCACCCCCCGCCCCCGGTCCCTCACATTTCTAGCTCAGAGATAATGGTTGTTTGGCTTGAGGTAAGAGCAGGCTACATGTGTGCTTTGGGTTCCTTGTGTTTCTGTTCTAGTCCCGTCCTAGTGATGAGTGGGGTGTGGAGGAGTCCTTTGATTCTCCAAAGGTTATTTCTCAAGAAGTGTTCCCTGCTTTCTATTGGCTGTGCCTGGCTGAGCTCTAGTGAAATGGCTCCACTGTCAGATGTGCTTGGTGTTACAGGTTGAATTATGTTCCTCCAATGCACAGATTACAGTTCTGATCCAGAACCTGTGAGTATGGCTTTACTGGGAAACAGGGTCTTGGCAGAAGCCCTCAAGTTAGGATTCATGGGAACCCTAATTTGGTGAGCGAGGTTTCCTATAGAAAGGGGAACCTGGGGTGGAGACACATGAGGAGAAAGGCATGCAAGGATGATGGAAGATTGCTGGCAGCCATGGAAAATGGAAGATACAGACAAAGACCTTTAGTCTACCCCCTCAAAGGGAGCCTGGCTCTTCCTAGCCATTGGTTTTAGATGTCCAGCCTCCAGAGGTAGAAATAATGTTAATGAGGAAATAAGCGTCTGTTTGAAACCACCTGGTTTGTACAACTTTTTATTGTATCAGGGCACTTTCACACTTGGAAAATGCTAGACTCAATGGAGCGGAGTTGGTTTTTGTCATTGCTGTTGTCGACCTTGATGCTTTCATTGCTACAGAGTCTTTTTTAGGCTACATGTGATGCTCAATGTGGAGCGTATTATGCAGTGTTGCCCACATTGTTTCCCATGTGGTAACCAGGCAGGTTCCTGAGGATTGGGAGCCCCTCAGGGCTGGTGTTGTGTGCAGTGTCCTCTGGAACCCTTGCTCTGAGAGCTCCATTTACAGACGCCAGTGACCATGTCCCCTGGACTGTGCTTGCACCAATGGTGTGGCTGTAAGCATGGCCATTTCTCAGTGAAACTCTCATGTTCTGTGCCACTTTTCACCTACCTTCATCCTTGGTTGAAGCTCTAGGACCTCACATGGGATTCTGTCTTTATTTCCCATGCATGTTTGTGGAAGGGACTGCCCTTTGCGCTGACGTCCCTTTGAGGCACTGAACCCCTGTTCAGTGGTTGGCAGCTACTGAGTGACTTGGTCTCACAGCATCACATCCCCAGGCTTCTGCCCACACCAGAAAGCTAGGGGGTGCTCTTGGAGGAAATGTGCCTGGGGCCTTCAGGATGCCTGGAGGACCTGGAGGAAGAGACAAGTGCGGAGACTGGAGTGGTGGAGTGGGACAACAAACTGGTTGGACATCTTTGGGGAGGGATAGGCACCTTCCCCCAGGGAGGTGAAGCTATGGCTCCCGAGGACAGCCCTCATCATACTCCCTTTCCAGGTTCTGACCTGCTGCATCTTAATCTACCTCTGACACCTCTCTCCAGTCACTTAAAATGACACTTCATCCATTTCTGAGGCTTCAGCCACCTCCCTTCTTCACATCTGTTCTGAGGGCTGGTGAAGACTGTGACTTCAGAATCCGCCAGGTCATGTTAGTAGTGTTCTCTGATTCCATCGTGTTGAGTTACAGCCACAAGGGACCTGCCTGAACCAGCGGCTGGGACAGTTCAGCACTTCCTGAGCACGTGGGGTGCGCTGCAAGCTCCTGCAGTGTCTGTGACAGGGCTCTGATCTGCAGCTGCTGGCTTTCACAGGGCTCATTTATGACTTCTGGCTTGCATTAGCCTGGCTTCCAGGAAGGCTAGGAGAGAACCTGGGAGAGGAGGGAGGCTGCTGTCACTAAGGAAAGGAAAGAAGGGAGTGAGAGCACAGCCAAGGTAACTCCGATTCCTTGAGCTGCTTAGCAATGCAAATGTGCTCAGTAAGTGGGCCCTGCTAGCCTAAGTGTAAAGCCCCAGCCTCTTTCTGAAACCCTTGAAATTAGTCCCTAATTGGCAGCTGCCTCTAATAGCCCCTTTATAGTTTTCCACATCTGGGTGACTGGAGCTATCATGCACTACATTCTGTTTACCATTAATTTTGATTTTGTTTAGCAGATGTTTCCAGGAATGCTCAGCTGCCTGCTTAATCCATCTTGGTCTACTGTGAAGTTGCTAGATTAATAAACTTCTGGGTTCTTCTGAGTTAACTTCTTCACCATCTGCAGATATAGGCAATTGGGTTTGACAGTGCCTGGGGCACTGGGTCTTTGTGAATTCAGGACTGCTACCTGGGTAATGAGTTGGAGTTTTCTTTCTCCCCATTCTCACCTCTGCATGGTGAAGCCCAGCATGTTCTATAGACATCAGACTCAAAGAATTTGAGAGTGATCCCTTTCTCTTCACATTCCTACCTCCACCTCCAAAATTGATTGTTTCTGATAGTGTAGCCTTTGTCAGCTATGAGAAAATGGCGTTAAACTCTGTTGAACCTTCTTGCCCCAAGTTGAACAGGATGTGAATGACACAGGTGGCTGGCGTGTCTTGCTGAAGAAGGATGAGTTGGTGCTTAGTTTTGGCAATGTTAACTGGCAGGACGTAGAATCCCCATATTTTACTTACAGTGTGATTTGGAG